GTGGGGATGGGAGGTTTTGGGGTTGGATTTCTTGGGACTGGGATTTCCTGGGGATGAGAGTTCTTGGGGATGGGAGTTCTTGGGGTTGAACTGTGCGAGGAAAAGGCTCACCTCTGACAGTTTGATCTCTGGCAAGGAAGATGACCCCCCTGATTGCCTAAATGGCTAAAAGCAGTCCACCAAAGGATGCACAGTTTTGTGAGCATTGTTTTTGGAGCGTCAGCAGTGCCATAGGACTCTAGTGGATGCGAGTGTTGGCATGGCACTCTGTAAAGAGTTGGTGGAAAAAATAAATAAAAGTCATTTTAGTTCTTTCTGTTCACAATGGACTGGATATAACAAAGATAATATGACTTTATCATCTGGATCAGGTAATAGCTTTACCATCTGTACTGTCATCACATTCAGTAACTTGCCCCCTCCTTCAAACTACAGCTCTTTTCTAGGTAGAGCAGCCAATGTAAGTAGTAGTTTTAAATCTACAAGACATATAAAACCCACGGACCTACAAATCTATAACCAAGAGGCTGTAAGATCCATGCTCAGGACCTGAGTAACAACTGCTTTCCCTCCAAAGACAGCACATGCAGTGTCAGCCTCTAACAAAGGTTATTACCATCAAGGACTTTCCTCTGGGGAAATAGTTTAAAAAGAGCTACCTGAATATTGCCTAAAAATTTTACTTGAAAGAGAATCCTGAATCAAAGTGATGTAACAACAGGAGTATTTACTTTTCTGCTTGACCCCAGAATAGAGAAGTCACAGAGAGTTAACCATTCTCTGCATTTTAGAGGGGATTTTATCTTGCAAGAAATTTGCCCTACCCTACTTAAATTTAGAAGATGTCAGTCCCCTTGTATCTCCTGCACACCAAAGGGAATGCAGACTGAGCTTGAGCAATATATCTTAAATTTGCCAACAGTTTTCCGCTGCAATAAATACCTCTTGCAACATAACACTGAAATCTGTGGATTGCAAGCCTGTGCTTTCTGGCGTATAATATACTTCATCCACTCCACCAAATGCCCATAAGGAAATTGTAAGTGAAATCAAACCACAATATATGAGAGTGAACTTGCACAGACAGTTGATTTAGGACACAAGCACCTCATTCTGGCTCTTCACTCTACAATTTTCAAAAGCAATTCACAGCAAGTACGTAATAGTCAAACAAGTTGGGTTGGACATTAGGCTTTGTGGTGGGTAATACGAAGAAATAAATGGAAATGTGGTTACAAATTTGAAACTTTATCTTTGGAAACTTTGTGTAGCATTTCTGAGAGCTCCACTTGACCTACAACTGCTGGGTAGAGGCAGTAAAAATGATGTAAAGGCAGTCAAAGTGAATTAATTTAAAAAGTCTAAGTGAATATTAATAGGACCTGCTATATCCAACAATTTACAAGCGTGTCTGGCATTTATAGATGAACTCTGCTGTTTGTTACATATTACATTAAAGAAGAATCCTGAACCAACATATCAAAATGTCAAACTAACACAACATTTTCCTTTGATCTCCTTTTTTGTTAAAATGAATTATTGATAGCCTTTTTCATGGCTGGCAGGAGAGATTTCTGATTTTTATTTGCGTACCAGATCAAATCTCCCGTTCCTTCTGCAGGCAGAGCTCTTTACAACAATATCTAGATATGATATGTGCATTTACAGAGCTCAGATTCTTTCTCGCGGGGAATGTTCTCCCCACCCATCCTGTGCTGCTGTGATTTCTTAAGCTGATATTTTCATTGGAAGTCTTTAAACAAATGTACAGCCCACCCTGGAGCCAGTGGTCAGGACAAGAGTGCAATGGTTTTGTGTGGGCCCACAGACCACACTGGTGGGTGTGCAGCTCCGTAGAGGGATCTGAGCTGTTTTACCCAGGATCTGTGGAGAAAAACCTGCCTGTCTGTTCAGTGATGTGGCTTGGGAGGGTGTTTTCCAGAGCAAGGTCATATTTATGCTAGGTTTCAGAAAGCCCAGGTGGGGAGGTGGGGTGGATAGTTCTTGAAGTTTTGGTGCCATGGGGGGATAATGAGGTCTCTATTATCCATCATCGCCTGGTTTGGACACCAGCAAAGCCTTAGTCCCAGTAAGAGCTCTCAGCTGCTCCAAGTTTCATGGTTTGCAAAACTTTCTTTTCAAACGTCACCCCAGTTATGGTTCTGGCACTCATGTTTCCTAAGGGTCCACCTCACTTCTGGAACTTGGCAGCCCCCAAATCCATTTGCTATGCTCTGCCTACCAACACAGAAGTGGTTTTGGCTTGTTTTATTTTAAGGTCAGAAGTCTCTGTCAGAGAAATGAAGAAAACAAACCTTCCTCCTTGTGGTGTCCTTTTTATTCTGTTTAGCATTTTTAATTGCATCCAAAAGATGCTGCTTGAATTTGGCAACTCTTGGGACTCTTCCTCCAGTGTCTCTGGGTTTACTAAGGCACAAAGAAGGATGGTGCAAACTATAGCCACAAGGCTCATGAAGGGTTTTAGCTTTGCATGGGTTTAAATTGTTTTGCTCGATTTAAATGAGAATAAATCGACTAGAAGTGTGGAACGGAGGACAGAGGGACACACTTATCTTCTTATACTCCCCTATCCCCAAATGTGTTTCTGTTGCTTGCATCCCATTACAGATTTGAGAAACCCAGCTCCCGCCCTGCAATTGTGGGAGGGGGGACCAGCAGTCCTTGTCTTTCTGTGCCTCTGAGGAGATGTGGAGCCTCTGAGTGCCTTTCCCTGCCTTCTGCTGTCTCTCAGCCAGCAGGTCTGCTCTCTTCCTTCATGCTTTAATCAGGTTTTTTCTCTCCGTTCCGCTGACCCACTTTAGGCTCTTTGAAGGCACGGCGGAGCTCCCCGGCGGCTGCGGCTCTGCCTTCGGGGGACACGGACGGGCGGAGGAGCTGAACAGGCGAAACGGCAGCAGCACTCGACCCATGGGAGAAGGGTGGTTTCGGAGGCACAGGTCCCCTTGGTTTGCTCCCCTGGGCACCTCTGGGCACATGTTTTTCTCCCTTAACTGCTGCGTAGGGTGTGTTGTTGTTTTTGGTCTTCTGTTTTTAAAGTCCTTTTTTTTTTTTAAAGGAGGTTTCATTTCAAGGCTGCTGGAGCAGTCTGCAGTGGGGTTGCAGACACGCGTGCTCACGCTTCGTGCCTTAATAGCACCTGACATAACCTGGTCATAGGCACAAGGAAGGCACAGATCATCCATCCCCCACTGCTCCTCTGTCCCCGCTCCCATCCCCTGTATGTAGGGCATCCTGTATCTCAGGCAGCATCCCCTGCCTGAATCACTTCAGGAGCCTGTGGGGAGCTCTCTCCACCTTCCCATCTCATCCTGGAGTCTCAATTTCATGTTCAGATGCTGAATTTGGGGTGAGCGTGACCCTTCCTCTGTGTGTGGGCAGGGATGCTGGCTTTGCTCTGGCTGCACAGGAATGATTACAGCTCTGCAGTAATAATTATGTGAGCCTGGCTGAGGAGTGATGGTAGGGGAGAGGATCTGCATGGTGAGATGACTCAGGGGTGGGATGACGCAAGTCTGGGGCCTGACTTTCTCTTTGCAGGCTGCAGAAACTTGTCTCCAAAAGGCTAGGTCAGGGAATGATTTACCACTGGGTGCCAGTCTCCATTCTCTCTGCTTGGCACTGGCCCCACTTCTCACTGCAAAGGTCTCCAGAAAAAGCATGAGACCACTTTTTTCACTGTTTTTGTTGGTATTTGGTGGTTTCCTGCCTGGCTGAAGGATCTCAGGTAATGTAGGAGGAAACTAAGGACCTGTCCTCATGTGATGCTGTTCATGGTGAATTCCTTGACAACTGGCCTTGGGGAACTTTTATTACAAATTGATTTCATTTCCCTCTGTGTCCCAATGACCAGGAAGAGTAATTTCAGTTTACATTCAAATTTACTTTAACCTGGATGAATTTTCCTCTGTAGACATGCTTTGGGGTGTCAGAGGATCTGCTTCTGTATAAAGCTGGTCTGCTGCTGCGGCAGCAAAGCTGCCTTTGACTGACCCTTGCTAACCCTTCAGCACAGGAGACAGCAGCTTATGTTTCATGGCCATACTTATGACTTTTGTATGGTTGGTAAATTCAATCATGTGGGCAGGAGGTCGCCCATATGGGGACTCTTTGCAACTGCCCTTCTGATAGCACTCGTGGTCTTAGCCTTCTGATGCTGTTGCTTGATTTCTGGTCATGATGCAGAGACTGTTCAAAGCCCATCCCCCCTTCTCCTAGCACTCAACCCTGTAAGGAAGGGCACAGAAAGATGGAATTATGGATCTGCCTGATGGCTGGCAGGTAGAAACCAGCTCGTTCCAACCTGGGGCATTTCCCATATATGTGCTTTGCTGTTCAGGCTCTGTGTATGGACATCTGCATGCAGGTTCTGCTGTGTAGGAGATGCCATCCCTGTGTATTAAAGCAAAAAGTGCTTCAGTATCTGTTCTACAGATGATATAATTTTTATGTCATAAATAGCCTCTCTTGTTGCCTATCCCTTGTCTCCTCATACTTCTTCATGGGAGTGTATTCTTAGCACTGAACCTCTTTCTTCTAAATCCCATTGCTGGTTTCCTCATGTATATTTGTTATTTACTAAACAAAACAGGGAACTTCTGAAGATTAGTGTTAATTGTATTTAGAGTGAAAGTAGGTAATGGCTCTGGAAGTTTTCCCACAGGGTTATTTTGGTCCTGGCTCTTTGGAGCAGAGCTGCTGATGGGGCTGGGCTGTGCTAGGGCGCCTGGTGGTTTGTGAGGCACACACAGGCTCTGCAGCAGACCCCTGGCTTCATCTTTCTCTTGAGATCATGCCAGGATTTAAACTCTGCAATGAAAGAAAGTGTAAAAACCCTTCTCCCACACACATGGTAGTAATACTTTATATATATTTATAGAAAGGGCTGGTATTTTTTCCTGTTGGTATTAAATTATTGTAAAAAGGATAGAAGTGTTACTAAAATGCAGTTCTTCGTCTCCACAGAGCATTTCTTCTCTGCTGTCTAATAACTCTGTGTGATGCTGGTGTTGGATGTTCAGTTTTGGATCATCGTATTCCTGTGGGCTAGGCACAGGTCTTGGAAACCCCTCTGCATCATCATGCTGCTCCACTCAAGGGATTGTAAGTGGGCTTTGTGTCTTTCTCAGGCACCGGTTTGAGAGTCGTGTGGGGCTAAGCTGAACATACATTGCTTTTGGACTGATCCTGGTTGGACTCCAGCAGAGCCAAGCCCTGAGACTAGGTGCTTTGCACTGCCTCCACAGCAGGAAGAAAATAGTAGGAGCAGCTCAGCACTTACACCAGTAATATAGTGCTTTAATCTTCAGTAATTTCTCCAGGAATTAGCTGTGTATATTTTTTTTTCCCTGTGCAATAGCTGACTTCTTGGAGGCAGGCGCTAGATTTCTTGCAGGGTGTGTTTTCTGTGGTTTGATTAATTTAATCAGTATACAAGTGTATAGGCTTGGGATCATCTGACCAAAAATAAATACTGTCAGAGCTTTTGCTCTTGCATTCAGTGCATAAAACCTGACAGTGTTTCGGGCAGTTCAGGTAGCCTTCAAGTTTATGTCTAGAAAAATCTGATCAATTGTTCCTTGAAAAAGGCATCTTTTTCTCTAGTGGCTCAAACATGCATTCATATATTTAATATAGGCACCAGAACTGAAATTAATCCAGTCTGCAGTTCCTACAGTGACAGAATATCTGGATTACTTGGTACCAGGTTGCCCCAAGATGGCACTCTGCGTGCATGTCATGCTAAAATAATAGTATGGTTCCAAAGGATCGTCTTTAGTACCTAAACACTGCATACTTCTCCTTGTGGGGAGGTAGAGAAGCTGTAAGTCTGACAGGTGTGCAGCAAGTACTGTCACACTGCCTTTGAGTGATGATCTGTGAGGGCATCAGGTGACATCAGAGGTGACACAGGCAGGAGGCTCATTGCTGAAATGATTGGTAACCAAAACACGACCTGATATGTTTTTATCCTTTTACATGCTTTTTCTGTATTGATAAGGTGGTATAATTGCCAGATAGTCATAATATGTCACATAATTGTTTTGCTATTCCTTTATCTCCTCACATGCAGGGTATCCTCCTTTGACAGGGAAGGGAGTTGCGCCCTAAGCAAAATCTGACTGCTGAGGAAGCAGCGTTTCCAAAGGGTAGGTCCAAAATAATAAAATAACTTCCTCTTCCTGTGTTAGTGGAAAAAAAAGCAGAAATACTCAAAACAAAAGTGACAGGATAGAATAGTAAAGATGGTACCTTAATATTATGTTACAGATCATAGAATCATAGATTGGGTTGTAAGAGATCTTAAAGATCATCTTATTCCAACCCATGGGCAGGGACACCTTTTCCTAGACCAGGTTTCTCAGAGCCTTATCCAACCTAGCCTTGAACGCTTCCAGGGATGGGGCATCCACAACTTCTTTGGGCACCCTGTACCAGTGACACAGCACCCTCACAGTAAAGAATTTTTCCCTATTATCTAATCTAAACCCACTCTCTTTCAGTTTGAAGCTGTTCCCCCTTGTCCTGTCACTCCATGCCCTTGAAAAATCTGATCTTTCAATCTTTCTTGTAGGCTCCCTTCAGGTACTGAAAGGCCTCAATTAGTCACCCCAAAGCTTCTCTTCTCCAGGCTGAACAATCTCAATTGTCTTAGACTTTCCTTGTAGGAGAGGTGCTCTATCCCTCTAATCAATTTGGTGGCTTCTTCTGGACTCACTCCAATGGGTCCATGTCCTTCCTGTGCTGATGACCCCAGAGCTGGGTACAGTGCTACAGGTGGGGTCTTACCAGAGCAGAGTAGAGGGGCAGAATCCCCTCCCTTGACCTGCTGCTGACCCTGCTTTGGATGCAGTCCAGGATGCGTTCAGCTACATTTGGGAAATTTTTAAGCTTAAGGGAATTAGCCAAATGTATATTTTAATGATTAGAAGACTGTCAAATACGTGTTTAACTTCATTCCGTGTCTAAGTTGCATGTGAGGGGCTTTTTTTTTCTTCTTGCAGAGTAATCCTTATGATTCTGCTTTAGTGATTTTTCTTGTCTATCTGAAAAACTGGGAAAGAAAATTTTAAAAAAATTAAAGTTTTCTTCTTATTTACTTTCTCTGTAGCTGTCATTTATAAATCTTTAATGATGTACATGCTTTAAATGAACCATATATTTTTAAATGATTTGTAAAAGGAAAAAAAGCCTTTCACATTCTTGCATTGTATTTTTGTAATAACTTTTCTCAGCCTATGACTGAAAAGTTGTCTCCATTTTGGAACCTTCTGTAATGGAACGAGATCAAATCTAATTCTGCACTTCACATACTCCATGGGCCAAATAGATCCTTCACTTAATTCCATTAAGTGGGTTTTGCAGAGAAAGGAGTAATTTACAGGCAGCACTTGGCCCCAAACCCTCTTCGAAGTGACTGGCAAATTAGATAGACACAGGCACGTGGAACTGGGTCCTACGGCAGTCTCCTTCATATGGGTGGAAGATGAAACCCTGAAAGGCAGGATGTTTTCTGGAGAAGGAGGGATGTTAGCCAGAGGTGCTGCTGCCCTGCTGGATTCTCTCAGGGTGCTCACCCACCTCTGCCTTTGCGTGTCACCCGGAGGACGCTGGCTGCGCTGATGCAGACACTGATTGCACTGTTCCACAGCTTTGACAGCATGCATTAACCTGGAATCTGATGTGGCATGACAAGACACCAAGTTCTGCTCTGGCAGTGGGACTGTTCATGTGCAGAGCAGTCTGCTGGAGTCTCCCAGGACGTTTGAGTCGTATCCGTGTGTAATGGCCTTGTGCAGTTAAGTAGAGCACGCTGTCTGAGATGAAAATCAAGTCCAAGAACAGGCTTGTTTTCCTCCCTTCCCTTTCCCTCCACCATTGCCGCTTGCACCACCGCAGTGGAATGTCTTCCTGCTTCCCCATGGCTCCCCAAAACACACAAGCCCTCTCCTTCCTGCGTGGTGTAACTAATCTGGCTTGCTGACTGGGATCTGCAGGGGCCTTTAAAGTGATGCCAGCTACTATGTACTAAATGTAGCATGGCAGCGTTTCAGAGTGAAGCTAAAAATCCAAATCCAATAAGCAAAGAAATAACCATAAAGATGAAGCCCTGGTTTCCATTCTGCCCATCAGCTCACTGCCTGATGGGACAGCTTTGGACTAAAAGTTGGCGGTGGACTATGTTAGAAGTACGAAGGCCTCTTTTTTTCCCCTTTAAGCTCAAATCTATGAATAGATGCATTTTTTTTTTAATCTTATAGGAAAATCACATTATTTTCAGGGATGAGCTTTCAGGCAGTTTGGATTCCTTTTTCTCTCTGTTGGGATTAGCAAACAGCAGCAAAACTCACACTTCTCTTCCTAAATCCCCATTCAAAACAGAAGGGAGGTTACCCAAGCTCAGGTTTTGTTCTTTTGGGATTTAACTGAAAGAGAGTTTCAGTGTGGGGGTTGTGATCCTGTAAGGTGCTGGCTTTCATGAAAATTAGCAGAACGATTTTGTGAAAAACATTTGCATTTCAAGCGAATGTAGATTAGTAAGACTTTTATGGTGAAAAAGACTGTTATGGTTTTGTGAGGAAAACAGGTTAAATGATTTCTCATTTAGTTTGTGGAGAGAGGAGGACTTTTCAAAAAAAATCAAAAGAACCCCCAAAACACAACTACTGAACATCATGTGGGGGAACATGATGTGACAAAAAAAAAGATATGGGGTAAACCATCCACAGTGCTGGAATGGGTACCATAAGTAGTGAAATGCTTGCTTTTGTGGAAGAATGGAATGGGTGCTGGAAGATCAGTAGTTTTTGAAATGACAGAGTGATGTTTTCTTCTGCCAGGGCGTCCCGGGGGGAACTGTTATTACAAGGTTTCACCAGGCCAATTTTCATTTTATTTTATTTTTATTGAACAAAAAAAAAATAAGGAAATTCACCAGTGTAAGGAGGATTAAGAGTGGATAATCCATTTTTGTGACTCATTCTGATAAGAAAAGAGCTCATCAACTCCCTGTAGCCTTGCATCTGAAGACAGTTGCTGACAGATTGCACAAAATATGTCCCTGCATTTTTAGGACCTCAAGACAGCATCTTGCAAGCAGATAAAACCAAATAAAACCTGACAAACCGTCTTTGTACCGGAGAGATGAGAAGAAAAATGTGGATAGTTTCTGTTGGAGGATTTGAATGTGAAGCTATGGGGAAGGACATTGAGTTATAACTTTAACTCCTTAAATGTTCTCTTAAGCATGAAGGATCTCAGTTAATCAAAGCTATTGCATAACTGCTGCTGAGGAGTGAGAAGTTTATTTTTAATTACACTGCCTTACATAATTGTTACACGATGACAGAGGCAGCATGATGAAATGATAGAGATTTAAGTACACTTTTTAATACAGTGAAATTAAAAAGTGAAGTGCTGATGCATTTATTCATCCCTGCCTTGTACCTGGGTCTGTTTGATGGTTTCTGCTTCAGCACGGAGTTTTTTAGGATAGTATCATTTTATTCTGTACTTGTACAGCCCACAGCTGTGACGATGACTTCTTGAATGTGGTGTTCATCAAGATAATAAATAGTCTTGTTCATTTTCAGCTTCTCCTTTGATCTTGGAATGTTTTGGCCAGCAGACCGCTACACGTGCAGCTATAATTTATCATAGTTGTGGAAAACCCATTTAAGCTGGATGATTTCTTAAGTAATTTATTTAACTGTGGTTATAAAACTGTATTTTCTGCCTTGATACAATGAAATGCTTGCTTTAAAAGCTGAGCATGCAACAGGACAATTAAGTATGTTGTTTTAAATTTGAGAGAGCATCTACAGAAATGTTGCTAACAAAAAAGGGAACGTGAAATGGATAGTGAACTAAATTTTCGCTTTAATGTATGTAAAAGAGAAACTTCTTTTCTGTCTCACTTAAAATACCTCTTGTGAAATACTCCCTTTTCTCCTTACTTTGAAGTCTCTATGTGTCTACTCAGTGTTTGCCAGCACTGGAGTGGTGTCAGGGTGGGGCCATTACTTGTCCCACTGCTGCACACTCGGGTCTGGGGGCTGCTGGTGGCGGCTGGGCTTCGCTCCAGTCCTCAGCTCCATCACTCAGCCCCTGGAGGGGGACTCACTGGGGACCTGATGGCTGAAATGGTGTGTCCTAAAGTGTGATGTTCAATTTACCTAACAAAAATACTCGTCGGGGGAAGCCACCACCAGCTGATCAGGCCCAACAGAAAACCAGACAGGAAAACAGCAGCTCATATAGAGGTCCTAGTTTGACCCTTGTTAGACTGAAAAGGCTTGTTTCTAGCCACGAGGAAACTACTGCCCCTTTACTTTTGCTTTGACAAGCACCTTTTCTACAAAAGGACTGATGATGACGATGATTGTTGTTGAGGTGGCCTATACTGTGAAGGGTTTTAAGCTAAATGATGATGGACACTGTAATAGCTCCAAGGAAATCTGGTGTGAGACTCCTCTGCCTTGTGGCATCAGTCTGCCCTTCCTCCTCTACAAATTCTGTAATTTCTGGAAGCATCCAAGTTACAGAGGAAAAGCTGGAATTCATTTACAAGCTGACTTAATGTGGCTTTCATCAGAAACTTATGGCTATTGAGTATTTCTGACAAAGTCTTGTTAGAGGTTTAGAGCTTGCTTTGTGAGTGTGTTTATTAATTAAAGTCTGCCTCTCTTTCATGGCATTGACTATTACTTTTTAACTGGAAGCCATCACAAAGGATTTAACTGTAGTGATTTTTTAATTATTTTGTCTTAGAAGTATTAGCAAATGCCTATGAAATTGAACGAATGTAAAAATTAACATCGGATCCTCTCAATAAGAGGGAATTAATGCAATGAAGATCTGCAATATCAGGTCGTATCTGTGAAGTCAGATATGCAGAGATCCCTGTCTGAGGTACATAAAATCATGAATTTTTAGGGAATGACAAGGTTGTCTATTGGTGATGTTACATATGAACATGCTTTCGTCCTGTTGTTTGATGGGGTGGTTAACACTCAGTGGTACTGTGTGCCTGGTGTTAACATGTCTGTATGGACAGCAGACTTTTGCACTGACCTTCCTTTTCATGCTTGTCCATGTGTTTTCAACTGCAATTTAAGTAATAAGAAGAAAAAATCCAGTAATTTGAATG